AAACCCATTCATGATAAAAATTCTCATCAAACAAGGAACAGAAGAAAACTTCAACTTGATAAAGGGCATCTACACAAAATTTAAAGCTCACATTATATTTCACAGTGAAAGTCAAAATGATTTCCCTGTAAGACTGGGAAATAGGCAAGGATATCTGCTCTTACCGCTTCTACTAAACTGGAGGTTCTAGCCAGTTCGATAAGGCAAGTAAAAAAAAATGAAGAAATAAATGGCAGACTGGAAAAGAAGCAAATCTCTCATTTTTCACAGATGGCATGATCCTGCAGGTAGAAAATCCAATGAATCTACAAAAACATTCCTAGAACTAATCCATGAATTTAACAAAATTGCAGGATATGAAGTCAATATGAAAAAGCAATTAGATAAATATAAACTTGTACAATTAAAAATTGAAATTAAAATTAGGTATCTGGAGTAGTCAAACTTACAGGAACAGCAATAGAATGGTGGTTGCTAGAGGAAAGGGGAGTGGGGAAAATGGGGAGTTATTTAATGAGTATAGCGTTTGTTTTGCAGGATGAAAAAGTTCTGAAGAGTGGTTGTACAACCATGTGAACATGACACTTAAAACTGGTAAAGATAATACATTTCATGTAATATGTATTTCACTATAATGAAAAAAACAAAGTTTCATAACTGAGGTGACAGGATGAGCAAAACATTGAAATTACAAAAATATTAACATTTATAATAGCATGAGCTACATGTAATGCTTAGGAATAAGTTTAGCAAAACTATGCAAGAACTATATACTGAAAACAAAAAAAAATGCCGGAAAAAAAAAAAATTGAAGACTTAAATGAATGGAGAAATATACAATGTTCATGGATCTGAAACCTCAGTATTAAGATGTCAGTTCTTCCAAAATTGATCCATAAATTCAACACAATCCCAATTCAAACACAAGCAAGTTATTTTATAATAAGCAAAAGACCTAAAATAGCCAAAACAACTTTTAAAAAGAACAAAGGTGGAAGACTTGCACTAACTCTAGCCTCTTTTTTTTTTTCAGCCTTTTATTACAGTAAAATTTCAAGAGTTACTGTAAAACTATTGCAATCAAGACAAGAAGGTAATAAAGATGGACATTTAATATAATGAAACATGCTACTGTGGACAGACTGCCTATGGGGTAGCCTTGCTTATCAAGGAGTATTAAATAAATAAATAAATATAAAAATTAAAATAATGAAACAGAATTGAGGGAGTCAGAAATAGACACGCACATAAGATCAACTGATTCTTTTTTTTTTGAGACAGTCTTGCTCTGTCGTCTAGACTGGAGTTCAGTGGCACCATCTCAGCTCACTGCAACCTCTGCCTCCTGGGTTCAAGCAATTCTTGTGCCTCAGCCTCCTGAG